GACAGTGCCTAGCAGTGGTGGCCCCTGCGCTGAGGCTTCAGGCTTAAGTTCTGTGTCTCTGCTCTTGTCTTCTACCCACTACCACCACGATTTTATACACCCAATCCTCACTTATTGACATGGTTGGGTTCCAAAGACCAGGTCATATGTGAAAATTGGCATCATGCAAAAATGCAGGATGACCACATAGATCACAAAATGGAGGATAACTACATCAGTACAGAACTGCCAAATTACATTATTACATAACTGCCAAACCACTAAGAATCGTGGCCCAGCCAGGGTGACACATAACCTCAACCATCACAGCCAATGTTACTCTTGCCTCACACCTAGGCATTCATTACTGCCAAATGTACGTTGTTAATGTGAAAAAATAGCTGGATAGTAGTTTTTTTTCACTATGGTTATAAATGTGAAATGTAAGATAATGAGATAATGAATAAATGAGAAATAGGTATACTTTGAGGGCCCCAAATGTGTCTCAATCATGTTTGTACTCATGGTTGTGGTCCAGTATGATGCTGATTGAATGATGAGTGAATAAGTGAGTGAGTGAGTAGATGTGTGGGTGGATAGTTGAGTGAGTGGGTGGCATGAGTGAGTGAGTGGGTAGGTGGTGGATAGGTGAATGAGTGAGTAGGTGAGTGGGTAGATGGGTGAGTGAGTGAATGAATGAGAGGTGAAGGGGTGAGTGAGTGCATGGGGAGGGCAATCCATTTTCACAGCTTTTCTATAGCTGTTATGGGCATCTCTTCACAGGTTCCCTAGAAATGAACCTCAATAATTTCCCTCGAGCAGCCAAGTCTGCCAAAGCCTGCGATCTCAGCAAGTTTGAAAACGCAAGTGAGGACAGCAAGATCTCCATATTCCAACAAAAGCGTGTGCGGGGCTGGTGGCCTTTTGCTAAAAGCAAAGAACTCACAGTAAGTGGCAGCCTGGAGGAGGTGGGGTGGGGGCAGACAGGGGCCACTGTGCTCCTTAAATGAGTCATTTTGTGATGTCAAGCCAAAAGCCTTGAAGTGACACGGAGCCCTTCAAGGCAAAAGTTCTGCTGAGAAACAAGCATTTTTAAAACTTTATAAATGCATTAAGCCTTCCATTTTTCAGCATACTTAATTAAATAGTTCTCTGGGTTGGGGTGGTTATTTATTCTCTTGGCTTAAACTTAGGCCCCTGGCATTAATCTTTTCCAACATTTCTTGAAATTTTGCACAGAATCCTGACTGATGTGTAATTTCAATGTAACTCCCTCAGCTCTTGACCTTAAATACAAGACTCAATTTCAAAACTGATGCATCATTTAAAAGCTTCCTCCAGAGGGTGATGGCAGGATGAGCCATTGCCGGCTTGGTCTGTACAGTGTGGCCTGTGCTGTAGGAGTGTCTACCTTTTCACAAGCATTGGGAAGGTTTCTTCCAACCTCCTCATGACTCTTCTATAAGGGACAAAGAGTGGTTTACATGATTGGTGGCATCATGCCTAAGGCATTTGACTGCCAACCAGAAGGCTGATGGTTCAAACCCACTAGCCACTCCTTGGAAGGAAGATTCGGCAATCTACTTCCATAGTGATACCACCTCGGAAACCCAAGGAGAGGTTGCTATGAGTCAGATCTGACTGGACAGCAGTGGGTGGGTGGTGGTAGAGGCTGATAAAAGGGTCTAAGACTGCATCTCAACTCAACTCAACTCACTGCCTTGGAGTCAATTTTGAATCATAGTGGCACTCATTAGGCTTCTAAGGCTGTAAATCTCGCCAGAAGCAGAGTGCCTTGTCTTTCTTCCGCAGAGCAGAGCATCAATGTGCTCTTTCCTCTGCGGCTGACCTCCCCCTAGGCAAGTGCATTCTCCTCTATGCTCTGAGTGCCGTGTGGCAGGCACACCTGGCTTTGGTCCCTGGGTGGCCAATCTGGACCCAGTCGCTGTGGAATCAATTCTGACTCATGGAGACCCCTGTGCGTCAGAATAGAGCTGTGATCCGTAGGGTCCATGGTGATTTTTTTGGAAGTAGCTCACCAGGCCTTTCTTCTAGGAGACTTTTAGTGGATATGAGCCACCAACTTTTCTGAGCACATTAACTGTTTGCAGCACCCAGGATTCCAAAAAACAGTTGCCTTCTAGTCAACTCTGACTCATGGCGACTCTATGTGTGTTCAGGATAGAACTGTTGCTGTGTGCCAGTGAATTGAGTCCAACTCATAATGAACCTATAGGACAGAGTAGAACTATCCCCATAGGGTTTCCTAGGCTATGATCTTCATGGGAGCAGATCACCAGGTCTTTTGTCCCTTGGAACCACTGGTGGGTTCATATCTCTGACTCTTTGGTTAGCAGCCGAGCACTTACCCGTTGCACCACCAGAGCTCCTTAGAGTAGAACTAGTGACCCACTTATCCCTCTCCCTGCTCTAGGGCCTCAGGGGTCCAAGGCAAAGGATTCCCTTTATCCCTAGCTGGGTATGTGGCAGCCGCTGCCCCAACGATAGGGTATCTAATTTTATTATCTTACCTGGGATATTTTCTCTTCTCCTCCATTCTCAACTAAATCTCTGGTGAGACTGGGTAGAGAGACTGAGGTTCCAGGCAGCTCATTTCTTCCTGGTCCCAAGCACTTCCTGAGGGCTTGCTAGAGGCCAGCCTTTGTGCTAGTCCCTGAGCTTCAGTGTTTAGCACATAACAGATACTCATTGCTGCAAGGCCTCGACCACCAACAAGCTCAGAGCCCAGCCAGAGGAAAAATGTGTCAATATTTAATTGAAGTGTAAATAACACTTCATGCTTCCATAGCTCTTGTCACACTGATATATAATTGTCCATGGATGTCACAGCTCTTCTGCTGTGAGCAACCTGAAGTCAAAAGGTGTGTTTTCTCTTTCCGTTTCCTCTCTAAATTTTTAGTGTCTTCCATGATGCCTGGCACATTTTGTTGTTGATCTTTGAGTCATTTCCAACTTATGTTGTTGTTATGTGCCATCAAGTAGGACCCAACTCATAGCAACCCCTCCTTGGGTTTCCAAGACAGTATCAATACAGAAGTAGATTGCCCAACCTTCCTTCCAAGGAGTGGCTGGTAGGTTTGAACCGCCAGCCTTCTGCTTAGCAGTCAAGTGCCTTAGGCACTATGCTACCAGAGCTCCTTATGGTAACCTTATATATAACCAAATAAGATGCTACCCAGTCCCACCCATCCTCACAGTCTTTGGTGTACTTGAGCCCAGTGTTGTAGCTGCCATGTCCATCCATGTCATGAAGGGTTTTCCTAATTTTCATTGACTCTCCACTTTACCAAACATGACATCCTTCTCTATCGATTGGTCTTTCCTGGGAACACATCCAAGGTGAGCAAGGTGAAGTCTCACTATTCTTGCTTCTAAAGAACATTACTGTACATCCTCCAAGGTTGTTTTTTTTTTTTTCATTGTTCTGGCACATAGTAGATACTTAATATTTATTGAATGAATAAATAAATTCAATTAAGACATTGACCCTACCATGAAAATGCTTGTCTGTTTTCCTTCTCTGTGTATTCCATGTATTGAAGACATAGGAGTGCTAAGTAAATATTCTTGAATGAATGAGCACATTAGCACACATTGATTTATAAGACTGTCACCTTATTCCTGGGTGGTGCCAACAGTTAACATGGTTGGCTGGAAACCATAAGGTTTGACGTTTGAGTCCACTCAGATGTGCCTTGAAAGAAAGGCCTGGTGATCTACTTCTGAAAAGCCATCCATCAATGACCCTGTGGAATATAGTCCTACCCTGACCCACTGTGCCCTACATCACCAGAGCCTGAGGGTGTCAGGGTATTGTAGTGATTGGAATGCATGTTTCATTTTTGCAATGGCTGGGCCCTAAGGGAAACATTTATCTGGGAAATTTACTTTCCAGTTTGATTGACTTGATGCAAATTCTCTGTCCTTGGGCTTTGAAGAGTCCATTAGAGGCCTGTCTGTCTTGGGTCCCTTGGGGGAAAGCCTAGCAGGGTTGTCCAGGCAAGACTGCCTCTTACATTTCTGTCATAAGAGAGGAGCCTCTTCATGAGTGCATTCACGTCTTGAATAATTCAGGATCCCACCAACGGCTTCTGTGCACCAAAACAGTGCATGTTGGGATTGAAAGCTTTCTGATGCCCTCTGGAGAGGGATGGATAATAGGAAGCTGGAAGACAGTCCACAATGGCCCAAGAGTTTAACAGTGGGTTCAGGCAGATGGGAGCTCAAAGCCAGCTCCATTACCGGCCAGCTATGTGACCTTGGGTAACACATTTTACCTCCCTGAGCCTCAGTTTCTTACCTGTGAAATAGGGAAAATAAAAACCTGCCCGACATGGAGCTGGATGACCCGCAGTAACACAGAGTGTGACGGAAATCCTTTCCATGCCCTCCACTCCCTGGAGCAACTCCTGTCTCCGAGTCTAACTCCCCACATCTCTAAAATGGTGGGTTGCCCTCCGCCTCCAAGGTGCCATTTTTCATCACATTGTCTAATGCCATCTCTGCCTGGACTGCCTTTTGAAGCCAGGTCGGAATGTCACTGTCCTCTTGTATTAGTCACCAGCAAGCCAGAAGAGATTTGTTTACAGAACTGCTACCTGCTGGGTTTATTTTTAAGGCTGCTTATCTGTACTCTCAAGCAGTGTCAAGTAGACATTGGGATGACAAGGCTTCCATTGTGCAAGGTGGCTTCTTCCCTCATAGTCAGCGAGAAACAGCTCCAGTGAGACTGCCTAGGAATGAGAACCCTGGGGAAAGGAAAGAGGATTTGTATGGAACATGTTCTGGGAGAAACACCTTGCAGGATACGATGCATTTTATATTTCTTAACCCACCAGCCAGGAGCTCTGGTAGTGTAGTGCCTGAGGCATTTGACTGCTAACCAAAGGCTGGTGGTTCAAACCCACCAGCCACTCCCCAGAAGGAAGGTTGGGCAATCCACTTCCGGAGTGATACCACCTCGGAAATCCAAGGAAGGGTCGCTGTGAGTTGGATCCGACTGGACAGCAGCACATTGTGTTTTGTTTTAGTTTATCCCAATGAGTTGTACCCCTAAGAGCAACCCTCCAGGGACATCACCGCTTTAGGAGATGGGAATCCGGAAGGTTCTTTTACAGGTTAATCCCTCAAATTGACAGTGCAGACAAGTCCCAGGGGCATCAACGCCTGACACCGAAAACTAAAAGAGAGGGTTCTGTGCTTCTAGCTTAGTGTGAAAAACAGTTGTCAGCCTCTGCTATGGCCACACACCTAGAGGCTGGGCAGGAAGGATTCAGCAATGATTAAGACAGAGTGCTGGCATCCTGAAGCCTGAAGTTTAGGCTGGTAGACAGGCACACAGTTTAAATAGCGGCAAATTCACATTCTCTAGTAGCAGAAGGAACAGGGATTATATTTAACATTATGTTTAAGATAAAAGTGTATGTCATGCTTTTGATGGAAATTTGCAAAACAGGAGACCGCAGAGAGGAAGAAACACCAGCCACACGCACAGCACCCAAAGCAACTAGCGTTACTGTTTCCGCTGTTCCCAATATTTTTTCTATGTACAGATTTTGGCTAATGTTACACTATAGTGATCATTTTATATTTAAATATTATCTTTATTCTGTTTCACTCAGTGTTATAATTAGCATTTCCCTACATTATATTATTACTATTGACTCTTCATATTCTCAAAACAGAATGCCAGAGTTTAATCATTATATTTTTCCACATCCTTGTTTATTTAAAATATTTAAGCAGACAGAAAAGCATACACTAGATTCAGCACTTGCTTGTATTTATCTTATATATGTGTTTGAATGTATGGATGTATATGTATATGTAGGAATGAGTGCTTATGTGTATATGTGTATCTGTTGTGTTTTTATGTGTGTGTGTTGTGTATATATATGTGTATATGTTGTGTGTATATATGTGTGTG